AAGGATTGATTTTACAGGTTGGTTCCTCTGAGCAACATTGTGTTTCTCAAAGGTTGATAGCTTTGATGTCTCTGAAATGGAGATTTGAGTTACATTTTATTTCAAATTGTCTCAGATTAAGAAATAAAAATGAAATGTGCATTAATTAATCACAAATAATTGCAGCAAATGCATTATTTTTAAATAAGTCAATTAATTGACAGACTTAATAAAAATAGACACACATGTAGTGCTGTAAAATGAATGTGGATGATAGTTTAGTTTTGGAAGCATTTGAGGTTATTGAGATATTGAGTTTTGGTATCTAGTTTGAGACACTAATGATGTGTGAGATCCTCAGAAACATCTGACAAGCAGAAGGAGACTAAAGAAAAACTAGCTGTTGAGCGAGTAAAAACATTCATTTGTGTATTTTCTCTCATATGATGCTGTGCTGCTGTTCACCTATTGAAGGTGAGATTTAATGTCATCATTATTCTCCATTCAATCTTTAAAGAAGAAGTCTTTTTGGTTTCTCTCTCGGCTTGTGAGTGGGAATGTGAAAACCGTCATTATTTTCTGGTCCCTGTGGTCTCTGTTTCACGGTCTCTGTGTGGGAATCGTGATTTTGGACTCAGATTCTCTTTCCCATCCCCGTCTGTTTTTCTCCGGTCCAGTTAAAAAATAGTCCTGCGCTCACGGGCTCGCGAAGCAAACCGGTTCCAGCCCGCTTGTTCCCTCTTCTCACGGAGGCTGGGAAAAGAGAGGTCAGAACAGTTGTAATGGGTTTCGTATGGACACAGGTACCAAAGGGCTCCCCCATGACCCAGGAAGTGGTTTCCATGAGAAACCAAAGCCAATTCTGACAGTCCCCTCTTTTTCCAAAATATATCAGCTCTTGTTTGTCTTTGTCCCACTTTTCCACATCTTCTTTTAGTTGTTTTAAACCAAGCCGCCTTCTCACAGCCACAGCTCATAAAGGTTTTTTTTTTTCAGAAGATTTTTTTTGTTTTTGTTTTGAGAGTCCCTCATACTCATCAATGCTGCATTTATTTGATAAAAACACAATAAACACATCATTACAGTATTATGAAATATTATCACAATTTAAAATAACAGTTTTCTATTTTAAAATGTAATTTATTCCTGTGATCAAAGCTGAATTTTCAGCATCATTACTCCAGTCTTCAGTGTCACATGATCCTTCAGAAATGATGATGATACATAGTATCAATTATATTATCAAACTGATTATTTGAAATAGAAATATTTTGTAACATTAAACTTTTCTTTACTGATCATCATGCATCCTTGCTTAATAAATGGAAGAATAAAAATATTAATGACCTCAAACAAAGGTGACACACAGTTTAAACCACAGCAATAATTTCTTAAGCTTTTATTAAAATGTCACGATGAAACCATGTTATGTTTCCATCTCAGATATTTATCAGAGAAAGAGGCTTATTCTGTGTATTCTCTGCTGTGTCCGCTCTGACCGTGGACCAGGCTTGCAGAAGATGAGAGATTTTCAGATAACCACATGTGTTTCTAAAGAAAGAGAGAAACGTACTTGAACATTAGGTTTTCTTATTTCCCCCTTGAGCTTTAGTTCATTAAAAGCTTGACGTTTGTCTCTGCTTTATGGGAGAGTGACTGTAAAATGGGGCTCAATAGGAAAATAGAATTTGTGATTCTAATTGTTGTGTTTATTTACAGTAAATTCAAAATATAAGACCCCCCCCCAAAAAAAAAAAAAAAAAAAGAGAAGAGAAGACAAGAGCTGACAGAAGACAATGGAAAACATGAGGGCTTTATACACACAAAGAGTGATTGACAAACAAGAAGTGATAGATAGATAGATAGATAGATAGATAGATAGATAGATAGATAGATAGATAGATAGATAGATAGATAGATAGATAGATAGATAGATAGATAGATCTAGTAAACCGGGCCGATTGTGATTGAGCTTTAATCTGTGTCTAATAAAGCAGCATCTTTAATTATGTTCCTCGGGCTGTCTTTGAAATGGTGTAGAGTTGGTGAGCACAACAGCAGACTGTGTGTGAGTGTGTCAGAGAGGGAGAGCAATTATGGTAATTACAACACTAAAATAGGTCAGCAATGACATACAGTCTGAGTCTGGTGATGATCAAGACAATCTCACTGGTCTCGCTGGGGGTCCGATCACACTTCGGTTCTGGGACTCGTGATTCAGAGACTGCAACCAGAGCATATTTTTCCATGGGTTTTTGAAATAAAGTCTATATACTGTTGTACTGCCAACCGCCTTACAGTATAAACCCCATTGTGATTCTTTATTTGTCATGAAAACAGCGGTCAGGCCTACTAATAAATGTCTAAATTGGACTACCAAGGTTGTCAGGGACATTAAATTGTATCACACCAAACAGGAAAAATAATTTACTCACTGATTGCTTTCACAGCCTCGTTGTGTTCATAATCACACTCTTTTCTTTTAAAATAAAGGCTGAAAGAGCTGTCGGAAGTGTAATGATGATGACATTGAAGTCATGTGACCTTGATGATGTAGTTCGTTTATAGCCAACATTTAGCTTCATACTTCTGGTGATTTTATTAAGACTTTTAATATCATAAAAGTTGTGCCAAAGAGTAAATGCCAAAAGACTTGGCATTGCTGCTATCTTCTAAAGCTCTAGACTAGAGGAGATGCATGTGACGTTAATGGGGTCTTTGCCCCTTAAATCTCCATTTAATCATATTGGAAAATAATTGCCTATATTAAAGATTGTGATTTTATCAAACTTCATTACCAAAAACCAAAAAAAATAAATAAAAAATACGTTTAACGTTTTCAGAAATCGAACACCTTCACATCTGCTCCCCTGAGGCTGAAACAGAGCCTACTCTTCTCAATAGCTCCATCCGTCTGGAGGAATTCACATTTAGACATAATTACTGAGATAAAACACAAGGACTGAGAGGAGAAACAAAGCTCACACTCTTTTTTTAGGCCTGGAAAGAAAGAGTCATGTTGATGAGGGGGTTTTCCTCAGAGATGACAGAGCGGAGGTGGATCACAGGGAACGTTTCAAATGTGTTAATGCTCCAGATTACCTCACCAAACTGACCGCGCGCGCGCGCGTGTGTGTCTATTCTTTGATCGTCTCTGCTGCAGATCCTCCACAGTACTTTGCTTTCATCCGAGACTCTCCTAGGAAAACCCAAGGATAGTTTCAGCCTTCCTGGCATCCCGTCTCATTGCAGTGTGCGTGTGTGTGCTGTAATGGGCCATAGCGTAGCCTGTTGTTTCATATCAGGCCTCATTAGCCAAACTGCTTTTGAAAACGGAGTGAAATTCTGGACATGAATAAAACACTCTAAAAACAGACGTTGGTCACGAATAAAAACACGATTAAAGCCGCACCACAATTTTGAAACCTCTCGGCACTGCTTGCTTATGTTTTAGTGATAATGTGCATTAGTATATAACAAATCGTTTTCAAAAAAAAAAATCGTTTTCACTGTTATGGATTTTAAGGAATATTTTTTGTGCATGCCTTTAGCTGGCAGATTTTAAAGTCGGTATGAAAGGTTGTGATGTAGTCTTTTCTTCCTACTTCGATTTAGTGGGACTTGGATGGTTTGATTGGATGGTTGGATGGTCGTGGTTTGCTATTGGTCGATCTCATGTGAGTGACAGGTTGGCACCTAACGCCAGTAGACACATCATTAGAGAAGAGCTGTTATTATGATTAAAGATTTTGAGGACACACTTAAAATAAATAATGATGTGAACAGATAAATAATTGAAGAAATGATTACAATACATAAGAAATATGGCAATATTCCATTTAAAAAAATTGATTTCATGCTGACTTTAAGGCAGCATCACAGACTCTTAAAATCACATTTGAGTGAATCTCTAGCGCTCCAGACAGACACAAAAGTCACAGACACAGTTGTTAAATGGCATGACAACTTATTCACCACAGATGGATATTTTACAGCATGTGTGTACCAGTGAGTGTTAAATCTAGCTTTGAAGGTGATTTTTTTATTATTATTTATTTGAATTATGTCTCTGGTCTACTCTTAATTTTACAGACTTTTGTTCACTAAAACTGTCATAATTTTGCTTTATATCCCAATTTTCACCCTCCATTTCCATTTTTTGTTTTCTGACAAGAAAGAAAGAAAGCGTTGTGTGTGTGTGTGTGTGTGTGTGTCTTATTGATGGTTAAAGCAGTCAGCTCTGTTAATGCCACTGGCTTGAGCTAATGGAGCTATAAGACTAAAGCCCTTAAACCCCACAGAGAAACACAGACAGAGATGCAAGATCAGGGGTCTAGTGTGCTTTACTTATGGCTGATGTTTCTTGAACTCAGATCTGAATATATCACTCAATGACCTTCACAGCAGCATTGGCTTTTTTGTCATTTGATGCAAAGGTAATGCTTAGCCTTATATGTACATACATTTATTTTATTTTTTTTTAACTTTGCAGGATTTACGATGCTGTAAAACGCTAACGCCAGTGAAAAGGGTCATTTACCCATTAAAACATCAGGGTTAGATCATATTCACAATTTTGTGTCTAAAATATGTTATTATACTAAAACTTGTTGTTTATTGAACTGTTGTATAAATTCAGTATCACAACATGCTCATATTTGGGAAAATCAGCATTGCTTGTGTGGTATATTCCTTATTAAAAACAATAACGTGTGTAGACATTTTTGCACCATATCCATATCTTTGTTTTTGGCAACATTTTTGCTCATTTTGGTGGCATTTATGCTGCAAGGCAAGCCACTGTTGATTTCTGCCCCTGGCTAAAAGGGTTAGGCTACACACGTTTCATGTTCATAATGTTTGGCATCTCAAAAAAAAACCAGATGAACAAATGCATTGCATTTCCTTGTTTATTTTGATATCTTTTATTGTTTGAATCACATTGAGCATTCTCATTTCTCAGTTGGGATTCTCATTAAATTGAGTTTTTGTGTTTGGAAGGGCATAAAAGATATAAACTAAAGACAGAGAGAAGGATAGAAAACAGCTTTTCCACTTTAAAGAACTATTTCCTTCAGCCGATGCCATCAGAGAACCTGCTGGTGAGCACACACACTTTTCCTGCAATAATTGATTACTATGGCATTACATTAAACACAAATTACATTAAATCTCTTAACAACACATCAGCTGCCGTTATTGAATACATAGCTAAATGTGCCTGTATCAGCTGTCTTTAGCCCACACATACACACAACTTAAACTCTGAAGCGTTTATGTGATTGATCTCTGTGACATTGGCGTCCTCTAGTGACCATAGAAGTGCAGAGTTACAATAGTGTTTTAGCCTACTGTTGATTAATTATTGACTTAGATTTGGCTTAAGATTCGAAAGCTGTAATATTGAATATTAAATATTTGATGACTGTTTGGGCTCTTAATTGCCATTTAACATTTGGATAGGCCTATGTCTTTTCTTTAAATAGGCTACTCAGTTTTATTTTCATGAGCCACTGCAATAAAACAATTACATTTAATGCTTATTATAACAGAGAGTCAGCCGACAAAAAGGTAAATGGACAGGCTCACACTTTAAAATCCAAGTGAATTAGGCCTATATGTGACACACACACACACACACACACACACACACACACACATTTCAAATGAAAAATAGGCCTACTATGTGAAGTACTTCAGTATGTACATCTTTTGCGGTCCTTTTCCACAAAGTGCAAAGTTGTTGCTCGAAAAAGAGCAAAAAAGTACAATAAAAACTCTTAAACGTCATTCATGCTTGTGTTTAATTATAAATGTAGACTTTATTTGTGCCTAATTTGACATCACTGATATGAAATGTCTGTGAACATGTATCCATAACCAGGATTCGAAAGCTATGAGAGGGGAAATCTTATGTGAACATCAACTTTTACTTGGAATGAGCTAGAGTAGGCTAATATGGACTTTTATTATATTTTGTGGTGTTTTAAGGGCCACATTAAACGTTTCTCTTCTATTTCACTGAATAAAACACCACGGTGTGGTTAGAAATGACGTGCAACACAGGACAAGAATAGCCTGTATCTTTAAATTCTGAAATGAATGTCAATATATTGAAGCATTTGACTTAACTGGAAACGACAGCGTCTCTCTTGCTTCACCTGCTTCAACAGAGCTCTTCAGAACTCCAGAAGAGTTTCCATCCATATTGACTGACTGTTTGTGAGGAGAAAGTATCATGTCGCAAATATCTCTATTCACACACAACTCCCGTTCTGTAAAAGTGCCATAATACACTCACACACAGAAGATATCCGCTTTCCCGAACCCACTGTAGGCTTCACGTCAGTCACGGGCTCTCGGTCGGAACGGAAGATCTCGCACAGATAAAGTTGCTGGAACCCATTAGAGCATCTGTGGATTTACAGGGCTGGAGAAACGCTCTTGCCCTCCAGACGTCCAAGAACAACACCCGCGTGTCCTGGCGGGCTGTCCCGCGTGAGCTGCGTGCGAGCGAGTGTGTCTGCCGGGGGGAACTCAGGCTCCAGCCGAGGGTTGAATACGGTAAGCTTTGTATTACAAGTCATGCAACCTCTCAACTCAGAATATTTCTTGGCAGGAGCAGACATTTGCTCTTTTATTGAGCCTAAAATATGTTTATTTTAAGGAATGGAAAGCCACCTGTCCCAGTACGAGTTCATTAGGCCTATTTGGAATCATCCAAACTAAACCCTCTCTGAGCTTTTTGTATTCCTGCACGGTAACACTTTACAATAAGGTCATTTAGTTAGGCTAGTTCATCAGTTAACGTGAACTAATGAGCCATCAGCCTATCAGCTATTTTTTTTTTTTTTTTTACATTAGCCTTTGTTAAAGTGATAGTTCACCCAAAAATTAAAATGTTGTCATCATTTACTCACTCTCAAGTTGTTCCAAACCTGTCTGATATTTTTCCTTCTGCTGAACACAAAAAATATAGTTTTTGTGGGTAACCAAACAGTTGATGGGCCCATGGAAGTCAATGGCGGGGTCCATCAACTGTTTGGTTATCAACATTCTTCAAAATATCTCCTTTTGTGTGTTTGCAACAGTTCATGCTTCCACGAATGAGGAAATTAAATTGCATTTGAGCGATTTTTCAGCCATTTTGAAAGTTTGAATATTATTTTATAATTTGACCATTTGATTCATCATTTGAGCCGTTGTTTTGAGACTTTGATTTATTAGGCTATTCGATTTTTAAGCATTTTTAATTACATTTATTAATTTTTGGTAATCTTTGAAGTCATCAAAATGAATGAATCTTTTCCCGAGTCAACTCGTTCATTTCGTTTGTTGAACGAACCAAATGACACGAAAAAAAGATTTGTTCATTTTGATGAACGAGTTCGAACAGGAGAGTCACGAACGCGGATCACAGAACAGAGCAAGGCGACCATTTGAGCTTATAAAACTTTTAAACTTTGTTATTATTTTTTTTATAATGAGCGATCGTTTCGCTTGATAAGACCGTTATTCGTTGTCTGGAATCGTTTAAAGCCCTTTCAACAGTTTGCTGTTTGCACTGAAAATGTCTTTTGGACCTTACCGTTTGGTTACCAGTAAAGTGCCTTTTTATGGCGAAAAAATCCTCATCAAATTTTCATCAAAAACCTTAATTTCTTTTCGACTGAAGAAAGAAATACATGGACATCTTGGATGACATGGGGGTGAGTAAATTATCAGCAAAAGTTTTTTCAAAAGTGAACTACTCCTTACTGTCCTCATGCAGTAGATGGCAGCATTGTCACGCAAACACATAACGCTGTCATTCCTCCAGGAGGCGCTATTTTGCCAAGAGATTTGTATACAATTATGTTTTTAATTATTACAAACAATTTATTACAAACCTTATTACCTTATTACAAACAATTATGGGAACATAATATAATTGCAAACATAATATGAGAGCTTTATAAAACTCTGTATGTGAGTTATATTTATATTTTGTATGTGTCAGCGGGTATGCCATTTGCGGTAACACTTTATTTAATGTGTTTTTGTTACACACTACATTTATTTACTATAGTAATAACTATAAATTAGGCCTAATTACATGCAACTAACCCTAAACCAAACCCTAACCCTATAATAAGGCCAGTTTATTCCTATAACTCAGAAGGTATACAAGAGGGACAAATTAAAATAAAGTGTATTTAAATGTGTATTTTTTGTAACAATAAAGCATAAAAACAGCATAATGAACAATCCATCTTGTAAGGCAACGGCCAAGCCTTTTCCAGAGCAATACATTTTAACTCTTGGTTTCCAGCATGTTCTTTCTTTCTCTTCTCTCAAGCTATACTTTTTTGTTGTCTGAGCTTGTCTAGGGCATTTCTGATGCCACTTAATAGGCTAGATTTTGATTTATATATAATAATAATACTTTATTTGATTTATTTTTTACAACCAAAGCTAATTTATTTGAAACCACAACAAGGAATACTATATTATAAAGAAATAAACAATCGGTTTAGAATGTTTTAGTCTTTAAAGTATATGGTTTTGTCGGTTGGATGGGTTTATTTATAACTCTAAAGGTTCTTTTGTGCTGTTCTCATGCTGTGCATGTTGTATTTTCTGACATGGTATACCCGTTTCATTGTCACTCTACCCGCTTTATTATATTTCTAGGAATTATTTTGCACACGCCTGTCCCTTTAAATCCCGCCCACTTGACAGACAACCGCACAGACCAATCAAAACGCGTTATTCTACAGGCGTGGCTACAGCGCACGGCATTTGCTGACGTCACGAAGATCCACTCCGACCTGCCTTTAGCTTAGCCTCTTAAAACTCCTCATTTTTTCATCTGGATTTGGTTTGTATCGCGCCTAGTCCCGTTGTAAATCCGAGGCAAGCGGGTCATTTCTCCGGTTAGACAGTTGCGGAGGCTGACTGCTCATCTGACAGCCTTCTAGAGCCCTGTGTTTAGAGATAACGAGTGAATTTCACGTGTTAGCTCGAGCTGATCTTCAGGAGAAACAGCAGTCATGGGCTCCAGAGCTTCATCTCTACTCAGAGAAGAGGACATTGAAGAAATCAAGAAAGAAACTGGATGTGAGTATTAGTTTTGTGTGGGTTAATAGTGTGTTTTGCTTATATAGACTTGGCTTAAGATGTTGGTTATGATGATGACACATGCATTGATGTAATACAGTGCCATATGTCAATGGGTAAACATACTTTTAGGAAGTGTGCCTTTCCTGTGGTGTAACATTTTAGCTATACCTTTGCTAAATTAGATATAACTATGATATGATAGAACTATGCTATACTAACTAACTATACTATGATACAACTAGAACGTCTATAGGAGTAGCCTATCTAATATTGTAATTTTATCTAAATAGAAGCTCACAACATGTAATACTTCAACTACCTGTATGACAAACCTAATTCAACTCAGCCTCTTAGTTGAGGTCTCACGAGCAGGTTTGAGAAGCACTGAAATAAACTCTCTAGGGGACCCCTGCTCCTCAATGGGGCAGATGACTGTGTGTGTGTTTGTGTGTGTGTTTCATGATATGAGTGGGGTGTGTGTGTCTTGAGGGGCAACAGATAATTATCTCTCATTTTCTGAAACTGCTGGTGTGTTTATATCAGTACACAGTAGCTGGTAAAAAACAAAAAAAAGTCTCTGTTTGGTTTTAAATAGGCAAATGCTTTAAGGGATCATATTCAAAATCATTAATTCACCCACCCTCAAGTTGTTACAAACCTGAATGAGTTTTTCTTCTGCTGAACACAAAAGGAAGATATTTTGAAGAATGTCAGTAACCAGACAGTTGGACCCCATTGACTTCCATAGTATTTTTTTTTTCCTACAATGAAAGTCAATGGGGTCCATCAACAGTCTGGAATGAGCAGATCAGGGCTGCGTCTTCCGAAAGCAATTTAAGCCTAAGTTGATCGTTGAGACCACTTCTGGATTAAACAGCCAGTCCTATTTTTCCCACATTCGTATGAAGTTATATCTGGATCAGGCTTTGGTAATCTGCTGCATTACACTGATGCAAATATTTATATTTTAATGACACTGTTTACACCTGTACAGCTGTAATTAGAGGTTTACCAAATGCTGTGTGATCGACCAGGAAAAGCAGCCTTTTCCGTCTCAGTGCTTTGGCCTTCGGCACGGATGAACCGCAGGGAGAGACGTACACCCCCACAAGATCTAGAAATAGTCTGAGGATACGGTTTATACCTTACCGGAGCTATATGGGTTATATGTTAGTCTTTATTTTGCAGAGCGCACAAACCTAACTCAAAGGGGCTGCAGGCTTTTTAAATGTTTTAAATGGCTGTTAATATTTTATTGTTTCTATCGCCCATATTTGTGTGAATGTGGCCTATTTTATGTGTTTGTAAGCCCAGATTTCACTACATTCCTGTAAAGCCACATGCAGTGGTGTCCTACTTGTTTTTGTTGGATTTTCCGCTCTAGTGTCAAAGCCTACTGGGAAGAATCCAGGATTTCACACTGGTTCTGAGTTTTAACATGTGCTGCTGTATCCTGTGTGATTTAATTTATTGTAGGATTGTTCTTTGTTCATTTACTTTATTTACTCTAGTGTGTTGATCAAAGACTGAATTGTTGTGGCAGATGTTCCACTGATGTGGTCGGAAATTGGCTTTACTGTGTTAAAATAATGATGAGCAACAGTTTCTTTGTGTAGGGATTTCCAGGAATATACCATTCCAAAGCTGCTTTATTTATTTTTTTGCTAAATGTATTCATTTTGAAGTGAAGGAAACATAGCCAATAAGAGTCCAGGATACATTAAACCTCATGAAGTTGGTTTAGATAATGATCAGTGTGTAGAGCTGGAATCAAAACCATTAGTTCACTTTTTAAAAAATACACATGCTGATGATTTACTCACCCCCATGTCATCCAAGATGTCCATGTTCTTTCTTTCTTCAGTCGAAAAGAAATTAAGGTTTTTGATGAAAACATCCCAGGATTTTTCTCCATATAATGGACTTCAATGGGAACCAAACGGTTCAAGGTTCAAATCAAGGGCTTTAAACGACACCAGACGATGAATAAGGGTCTTATCAAGCGAAACGATCCGTCATTTCAAAAATAAATACAAAAGTTTAAGTTTTATAAGCACAAATGCTCGCCTTGCTCTGTTCTTTCGTGCGCGTTCGTGACTCTCCTGTTCGAACTCGTTCATCAAAATGAACAAATCTTTTTTTCCGAGTCATTTCATTCGTTGAATGAACTAGGTGATTCGAAAAAAGATTCGAAAAACGAGTTCAAACAAGAGAGTCACGAACGCGCATGAAAGAACAGAGCAAGGCGAGCATTTGAGCTTATAAAACTTAAACTTTTGTATTTATTTTTGAAATGACCGATCGTTTCGTTAGATAAAAACCTTCGAGCATTTGTAGCTGAACAAATCTACAACCAAAGTTCACTTCAGTGTATATAATCAAAACATATGCAAATTACAAAATCTCTGTTAAAATCTCTATACTTTGCCATTTTCATGTATATCAGGGTTTCTGTGGGTCTTAAAATTCTTTATTTTTATACAAATAAAGGTCTTAAATCAGAGATTTAATTCATAAATCCTACAGAAACCTTGTAACCCTGTTTAGATTGATCTCAAGTTGTCTAGTTTGCTAAATCCGTAGTATGTTAAGTCATTCAGATAAGCCTTAAACCAGCACTGTCAATCTGATGATCACATCTGTGACCTGAATGTTCCCTGTCCTTAACCAGACTTCATCTGTGTGTGTGTGTGTGTTACAGTCTCCCACAGTCAGATCACTCGCCTCTACAGCCGCTTTCACAGTCTCGATAAAGGAGAGAACGGAGCGCTCAGGTACGAGACACATGAGTGACATGAGTTGAGTAATGATGAACTTTAACCCTGTGATGTTACAACACCTTTGTCCCGTGAGGATGCAGCTGTTACACAAGCAGCTCTGTTACAGTATATCTGCACACTCGCTTTAAATTTAACATTCACTCCAACCTCAGGCTCTGTAAGTTAATATGTTAAGGAATGTCTAGCTCAGTGTTTGAGTTTTGACTATTAGGAAAGAGTTTTTCCTATTACGTTGTTAAAAATATGGCTTTTACTGTATATTTTCCTTGTAAAAGAGGGAGCTCAAGGACAGGAATGAAGCACGCATTTCCTTGTGTGACATTGCCGTTGTCGTTTCCATAATGTCCTATGTGTGTCCTTACAACTGGAGTGACCTCTGTACACACCATGATTATTATCAATGAAAGTATGAAGAATATATAAGGCATGCTGTGAATAGGGGTGCTGGTTGTGTTCTGGTAAATATAGCAGTGATAAGGACATTTATAGCATAAATTGTCCACAAGTATTGCAGCGTGTTTTATTGTTGTGCATTACTTAAAAACGAACCGTTTCTAATTAACCCTCTGGTTCGGTCATTTTTGACTGGAAATATTTATTTTTTACTTCATCGGAATTTTACAAAACTTGGTAAAGGTTCGAGAACCTGCTATATAAACCAATAAATAAATAAATCATGGATATGATTTTAAAAAAGTTAAATGGTCCTGAAAAATGTCACGGTCAGAAAGGGGCGCATTGGAAACGAATGGGAAGTGGGAATTTTACCTAGTGGAAATGTTTGGTACTGCGCACAAACAAAATCTTACTGAAAAGCACATTTTTTTTGTGAGATCAACCTCAACTTTGGAACACAGCTTGTTTAGATTTATGGCTTTAAATTTCTCACATTTTTTAAGTAAAACATGCTTTGGAAAATATATATTTTGTATAAAATTTAAAAATAGTATTTTTTATGCATTTTTCATAATAATAAACTTTTTTTGACTATTCCATAAATTGAATTTAGTACCATAAAATCCCCTAAAATCAAACTAAAATATAGTACATTCATTTATTTAAAATAAATAATCAGTCTGACTGCCACCAGAGGGTTAAAGTGTAACTTGTACACAATAATAATCTGATTAAATAAAATTTTTTTTTCTTGGAAGAAATGCGTACTTTTATTCAGTAAGGATAAATTGTTTAGAAGTGTCAGTAAAGGCATTTATAATGCTATTTTTTACTTTCTATCCACCAAAGGATCCTGAAAAATTGTATTCCCGTTTCAACAAAATTTTAAGCAGCACAGCTGTTTTCAACATTGATAATGATAAATGTTATTGATAATGATAAATATTTCTGAAGGATCAAGTGACTCTGAAAACTGGAATAAAATTCAGCTTTGTTTCACAGTAATAATGACATTTTAAAATATATTCAAATAGACAACAGTTATTCTAAATTGTAATAATATTTCACAATATTACTGTATTTGTGATCAAATAAATGCTGAGCATGAAAGAGAGCCCCAACCTTTTTGAACAGTGTTGTATAATAAGCCAAATTCAACTTTGAAAACAAGATTTGAATGATTTTTGAGACATGACTTATGAAACGAAACTCATTCTGTTGGCCAAATATGCTGAAGTCACAGGTTGTGTTCTCGTTATAATTGTTTGTTTTTGATGACAACATCCTTTGTGGTTTAAAATGATGGTTACTTCAACAAACATCCTCAGCGATATGGTTAGTAAAAAAAATCCCGAATGCTGCACGTAACGGTGTTGATGATGACCTGCTGTATTTGTTGTCACCCCAAACATCCTTCAGACTGAGATTAGAGACACGGACTCTTGTGTTGGAACAATAAATAGCCTCTGAAATCCGGGCGGCAATGTGTGTGTCCTGTGTGTGTGTGTGGAGGTCACCAGCACTGCTTTCCTTATGCACGAGAAGGTTACTCCCCGAAATAATCTGTTACTAAACTCTTTTTTCATCATTGTATTGTAATGGGATTACGTATCGAATTACGCTGTCTGCACCGTAATCGCGTTATAATTACTCGTATAAGCCTTTACTAGATGAACAATAAAAGGATAGTCGTCAAAGTATCCTTTTAACGAGTCCCATTTTCACAGAATCAGGGTTGGGCTGTCCTGAGAAGCACAGCTTTATACACATTACTTTGTCCAATGTCAACTCAAGAGCACAGAGACGTGTCCATGCCGAATAATACTCGTTGGCTCAAAGAAACAAGCCTGAAAAGATCACGCCATATCAAATGTTTCAGCAGATTTACTCTTCACCTGGAAAGAAATACTTAAACAGTCTTTTTTATAACAAATTTGTTTGGTTTTGTGTATTCAGGTAAGGACGTTTTTCCCAAGAACATTTTAATGATTAAAAAAAGGATGGTTTCTCATGTTATTTAATTACTGGAAAACGTTTTCTTAATACAGTAACGTTACACAGACTCGTTTACAAAACCTGGAACTCATCCGAAACGTATTTACACACAACAGTGGTGTGAAGTGTTTGAATAAATGTGATTGGTTAAAAGGGTTAGTTCACCCAAAAATGAAAAACAACAACTTTATTAAATATTGTATTTAATAAAGTTGTTTGAAGATGAACGTGGAGGAAGATGAACGGAGGTCTTACGGGCTTGGGATGACATGAGGGAGAGTCATTAATAAAATAATTTTCATTTTTGGGTGAACTAACGCTTTAATGTATGTAAAGGAGATCTCCAGCGAACCTTTGGTCTAATAACACATTGGTATCTAGTCGACCGTTCTCTGAGATTTGTTTTCATGATAATCGAATGTAAAGAGTTTTATCTCTAAAAACTGTTTAGCATATAATGCTAGTATATGGGGGCATATAATAAGTAAAAAGAAATCGATCAATGCTTCGTTCTCAATGCTTCGTTTTGCATGTAGGGACCCTCATTATGTTACTGTGTTAGTGTGGGGTTATTTTGAGCCTCATTAGTGGTGTTAACTAGCGATTTCTTTTTACTTATTATATGCCCCCATATACTAGCATTATACACTAAACAGTTTTTAGAGATAAAACTCTTTACATTCGATTATCATGAAAACAAATCTCAGAGAAGGGTCGACTAGGTACCGATGTGTTATTGGACCAAAGGTTCGTTTTGCGCCGGAGTTCTCCTTTAAGTATCGTTTTAAGTACATGTAATTTACTCCAATATTTTTTGCAATGAGTAATGCGATTTCTTTGCTACATCCGAGAGAAAAAAATGCTGCCTGTCCTCCGAAGGGACAACTGAATTCCAAGTGCGCACCAAGACACGTCCAGATCCAATTATAGCTTCACTTCCTGTCTCCTGATATACCTTCATCTAAATTGATTTTTGAAGGCATCATAAATGTATCCTTTGCTGCTTTTGATATCCCACAATCCTGTACGTTCCATTCTGTGACAAATTAGCCCAAATATAAAGATGGTGTCTAAAATTTGCTGTTGGTGGTCAGATTTTTTTTGTTTGTTTGTTTTTTTACCAAAAGTTTTACACTTCTGATGTCATTTTGAGCAAGAAATTACTTAAACTATAAAAAAAAGTAAGAACATGATCTTATTCAAGTACAGTACTCAAGTTGTACTGAAACTGGTGACTTGTAATTTTTGTAAGGTATCTGTAGTTTTAGTCAAGTATGGTTTTCAGGTTCTCTTTACAGCTCAGGCACTGAATAACATCTCTCTCTCTCTCTCTCTCTCTCTCGCTCTCTCTCTCTCTCTCTCTCTCTCTCTCTCTCTCTCTCTCTCTCTCTCTCCCCCTCTCCCCCTCTCCCCCTCTCCCCCCATCTCAGCCGAGAAGACTTCCAGAGGATTCCCGAGTTGGCAATAAATCCTCTCGGTGATCGGATAATTAATGCCTTCTTCCCAGAGGGGTGAGTAACATCTCAGAAGACATTTGAAATATTAGATCTATTATTAAACTAGTTTAGTGTACAGTATTTTTTATGCTTGTACAAAGAACAACAATCTATATAAGTTAAAGAAAACAACAAAGCATAAGTAAGTGGAAAAGAAAGATAAAATGGGTAATATTAAACTTCTGTCCAAAGATTTGGGGTAAGATGTTTTTTAAAGAAGTCTCATGTTCACCAAGGCTGCGTTTATTTGATCAAAAATACAGTAAAGACTGTAATACTATATTATTGCAATTTAAAATAACTGCTTTCTATTTGAATATATTTTGACATGTTATTTATTACAGTGATACAAAGCTGAATTTTCAGCATTATCACTCCAGTCTTTAGTATTCTACGTAATATTTTTGTGGAAACCAACGTTTTTAAGGATACTTTAAAGAAACGAAAGTTAATATATAATTTGTTTCTCTCATTTGGCTTTGGGGGAAATTCTTGACCAGTTTCATCACATTCGTCTACATTTCTCAGAGGATATAGTTTCCATATATACTGTACGTTTATCAGTGTTTGTGTGAGTTTTTGGCTGAGATTATGTTACTGTATGATACGACATGTTTAGTAACAACTTCAAACTGTGTCATTACTCTCTCAAAACACACAGCATGTGGGTGGTGTCACATGGGTTGTTGGTTTCTTCATGGTTTATTTGGTTTCGAGTGTTGGATTCTTACTGTGGACTCAAATTTCTTGAAGCATGAAGAAACTTTCTTGTGGTTATGTCTGTAAAAAACATTGTAAAGCGCGTGTCTAAATTAGGACGACAGTTTTTATAGCTTCAGGGATCTTGTCTGGAGCGACGTCTGGGCCTATAGGGCTTCAGATATCAGTTGCAGTTGTTTTAAAGTTGTGTCTTCTCCCTCTCATGTGTCTCAGTGAGGATCAGGTGAACTTCAGAGGCTTCATGAGGACTCTGGCTCACTTCCGTCCTGTGGAGGACAATGAGAAGAACAAGGTCCTGACACCTGGAGAGCCGCTCAACAGCAGGACCAACAAACTCCTCTGTAAGTTCACAACACAAACATCTCTCATATCGATCAGAGAAAGCATCTTGCTGGAAGGACCTTGTGAAGTAATCCCACAAGGTGCTTTTTGGTGCTTCTTTTCATATATATATAGACTACAGTCTACACTCTTAGAAGAAATGGTTCTATTTAGAACCAGAAATGGTTCCATCCCCCGCTTCATATATGGAACTCCAAAATGGTTCTATATAGAACCATTTTTTTTTTTTTTTTTTAAAAGGCTCTATTGGCCAAGTATGGAACCCCAGGGTTCTATATAGAACCCAGAGGAACCCTTTTTTTTAGAGTGTATAGAACCTTTAAGGGTTCCAAATACGTAGCACTGAGGAACCTTTTAAGGTTCTATATAGAACCTTTTCTCTCTAAGAGTGGATGCTTAGTCTGACCCATATAAAAACAATTACAAGAACATTGAAGCCTATAAATCTCACATGTACTTTTAAAATTAATAAATTATGTAATTGTTTACATTTTCTTCATCCAAACATCTATAAATAATTTGGATTACATTCTCACAGTGATCGCAACGTCTGCACTTAAACATTCCTTGTATTTCTCCGTCCCACTGTGGTGTCTGTTTCATAGCAGGCAAGTCATTTCTTGTAAATGTCTTTAATCGTGGGAGCATTTCTATAGCTCACAATCTAAATCATTTTAAATTATGTTTATGTTACAAAAAATATATATTTTAAATAAATACTGTTGTATTGAACTGTTCATTCATCGAATATTCCTGAAAATAAAGTATCAGGGTTTCCACAAAAATATTAAGCAGCACACCTATGTGATAATAATTTAAAAAGTTTATAATAATCAGAAAAGTTAAAATCTTTTGTAACACTAAAGACTAGAGTAATGCTGCTGAAAATTCAGCTTTGCATCACAGGAATAAAATTACATTTTAAAATATACTAAAATAGAAAACCGTTATTTGAAATTGTAATAATATTTCACAATATTTACCAATGTTACTGAATTTTTTTAATCAAATAAATTCAGTCTTGGGAGCATGAGATAAAAAAAAATGAGAAGAACTTTAGTGTATATATAAATTTGCCTCCATATTTATAATTTTGCAGGGCCTCCGTGAACATTTTATTAAATGCTTTGAGTGAAATACTGCACAAATAGCAGAATCAGATGGCAGAATAAATTCATTGCAATGGCCAGTTTTAACCGATTCACAAAAATAAATCTCGAACGCTATTTTTGTTGTAAGGTTTAAAAAGTCACAACATAAGGAATGATCATCTAATGCCCTTTTAGATGCTTAATATACAACTTGAATATAAGACGCATTAAAATTAGGGTTAGAAAACAGAAATTCAATCCTGTACAATCAGTCTTATTTCAGTATCTTCAAAGCTATTATAAGCAGGCAAAACGCCATTTCCCGAAAGAAACCGAAGGGCTTGAACTGATCCTGATCTTAAACCCAATTACTGTTTTGAATGATTGTGTGAAACCTGCTTTAGTTCACAGCTACTCTTTATTTCAGCTCAGGAAAGACGTTCTCTGCCACCAGCTCTTGCAGTGTGTTCATGACCATAGTGTTGCGGTTTAAAGCTTAATTCTATCGATTTTCTCTTCTATCTCCACAGTCGCTTTCCGGTTATATGACCTCGACAGAGATGACAAGATTTCTAGAGACGAGCTGCTGCAGGTAAGAGAATCGTGAAACAGAAAGCCTCTGCACTCGACACAAAAGATCGTTCTGTACCGTCTGAACAATGAAGCTCTGACTCACACGCCCTTGCCACCTGAAACCAGCTATTCGTATTCGTGAAAGACGCTCTGTTAGACAGGGAAAACTCTTAGTCATTCCAGCTGGATTTCATTCAGGAGCAATTGAGCGGACTTCTGGGAAATATTTTATTATCTTTTATATTTTCCTTTACTATATTTTATATTAAATATTTTAAATATTATATATTAAATATTTTATTTTACTATCAAAAGATGAAAAGGAGATTTTGAGAAAAAACGATATAAATGTTTGTTATTTTATCTTCTGTTATATTTTGCATAGAAAAGTGCAATCAATGAACACTTTAATGTTAATTTAGCTACAAAATGCTTCTTAATTTCATTAGCATGTGTAATCTTCCACAAGCGCATCGGTTTTGCATCAAGTGCTTTCTGTTTCAGGGAATATTTATTCATTCATTAATTTATTTAAATCATTTTAATTTTTATAACTTCACTATATTTTATTAGAATTTTTTTGGCTAGTTTATTTGGTTGCATAGTTTATCATAACTATCCACTCTCAGACCATTAGAATTCACACTCCGCCGGGAGTTTCATTTGATTGACAGACGATCATAACGCCGAATCCTCCATTTTGTCCGACAAACAAACCAGACAGGAAAGTTAGTTGATTAAAGGGATAGTTCACTTTGAAATTAATTTTTGATGTTTTAGCTTACCTCAAGGGCATCCAAGATGTAGGTGTCTTTGTTTCCGCAGTATTTTCAAATTTTGTCATATAATGGAGGTCTATGGGGTCCATCTCAAAGAGCATGCAGGCGCCTGCGCAGACAAAAGCGCCCTCACCCTTCGTTTTCTCACACAAACCGCTCGTTTCGTGTCTTAGGCCATCAATGTGTACTTACATTTACGAGTCATTAAATCATGTTTAATTTGGACTTCTCTGTGCATGCTCTTTGAGGTGGTGACCATAGACCTCCATTATATGACTGACAGACATAACGGTTTGACCTAAAAATATCAAAATTGAAACTACTGCGGAAACAAAGACCATGGAAGTAAAATTATGTCAAATGTTTTGAAACAAAAAGCATGTTGAATTGCACCAATTAAAAAAAAAAATGCATTGCGTTAACCATGCTTGCATTTTAATCCATTGTATTTTTTCAGGCTTGCATTTTTATGGGCTGAAATTCAACATGGTTGAATATTTAAGCTGTGAATATTTCAATTAAAACATTTCAAACACATTTTCATTATTAAAAATGCAATAATCCATATTCACCTTTCATATTTCACTTCCAAAATTTTCAAACTGTCTCAGTAGATGGTCTTTTTTTTAAACCTCAGGAGATCACATCAAATCATATTCATCTTGAAATTAGCCATTTGAAAAAAAAAAGAAATGCAGAGAGAATTGCAGTCTGCATTTCAGCCTCTAGAGGACACCGCATAACAATATAAAACCAAATAAGACTCAAACTTTTTCCCCCCCAGGTGCTGAGAATGATGGTGGGAGTGAATATTTCTGATGAGCAACTTGGAAGCATTGCAGACAGAACCATCCAGGAGGCGGACACTAATGGGGACATGTGCATCTCATTTAATGAGTTCACCAAGGTAATTCCTGGAAACGGGTTCGAATTCAAAGCATGTGTGGCCCACTTACAGGGAGAGTTTTTTTTGTGTGTGTTTGTTTCAAGGGAGATAGTAAGCAATACAGGATCATTTCTTTTAAAATGCCTCTTTTTGTTCCTCAGGTGTTGGAAAAAGTGGACGTCGAACAAAAGATGAGCATCCGTTTCCTTCACTAAAGACCAAACGTGTTCTGAACTCTTGAGTGGAGACGATGCACATCAATATAGATAAGACATGCCCCCGATTCTTCTTCTTTCTGTGGGACGTTTCGTGCTTGATAAACATAATTGCGTTACTTTAGTTCCAATCGTCTGTCACTCTTGGGTTGGCGTGTCCTGGTGCCTTCGCTGTTCTCAAGTCACTGCGCCTTTTCTCTCGTGTATTCAAATGAAATTTATTCCAGCGGTTGGAAATAACTTTCCAGATGGGGATTGATGGATGCTTTTCATCAACCTCGTAAAAGGCCAAATCTGATGCTTCTGTAAATAAAGAAATGAGTTTTTGAGGTTTTGCGTAATAAACTTTCCTTCACACCCATTAAATGACATTTAATGCAGTGAGAATTTCCTTCACTTCCATTAAATGACATTTTTTGCAGTGAGAAATGCCTCACAATTAAAAGATGTGGAAAAATGTTCGTGCAAGTCGGCACGTAATGGGGAGTGAATTACCTCTTTTTTGGTGTTGAAATACCTAACAAGGAAATAATCAGGTCAGATGAGTATTTATATCAGTGAGTGATTCTGTGCTCGTTCTTATTAAATCCCCAAGCCTGCATAGTTAGATCTCGAAGTTAATTTTTAAAAAGGAAAAGGTTGTAATTTCTGTCTCACTTCGGTACAAAACGAAACCGAAATCTTTTTGTGTAAGCCACCGAAATTTAAAAAGGCCGTAACCATGCCTTGTACTTTTCGGGGGACCTTTTTTTTTCTTGTGGTCTTTTTATTTCAGTTCATTAAATGATTAAAGGAGATTTAAAGGATTAATTAAATATTTGTAGGCGTGAACTAATCAATTAAACCTGTTTGCAAATTATTATTTTAAATATCGTATCACTAATGTTGAAAACGTGAAATGTTTCTGGTCTCGTCACTTTCAGTTGTGCATGAATAACGTACATGATACCATGTTTTATTTCGAAACGCCAAAACTTGAAGTTTGCATCACTGGATATTACTGTGGGGCGTTTTAACATTTCTGTCGTGAAACAATTCTCAAATATTATATGATTAACTACTTGCATCTTACCATACACTCTCACCATTAAAGCTAATAGCATTGTGTTTGATTTCTCACTCGTCTTCAGTGGACGGCAAACCCCGCCTTCTTTGATTTGATTGGCCATCTCAATCATTCTAACAGTGATGAGCAGATCAGACTATGAATATAACTTTTCTTAGTCTGACTTTTCGTATGTTAAACAACAATTCAATACATCGTTTTCATTCCTGTCAAACAATGAAATATGGCGCTACCCGTACTAAGGTCTGTTAAACAGCATGTAATGCACATCAAAGTTTGTGTTGGAATATTAAATTGTCCAACTTGTTAAGGAAAGTATGTTTTCTTACTGATCAATTAGATTTTAGATCAATTTAAAGTGATCAAATTGCAATTTTCACCTTCCAGATAATAAAACACCCACAAAAAAAAATCAGCTAGATTTGCTTTTGAAGAATGGACTCCAATTATATTATATGTGCACGGACCAGTAAACATCTATACGTCTTAGCAACATGTAAAAAGACACTTAGAGCTGTTTAACAACCCTATAGAAACAACTTGGCACCGGCCAGCAATGCCTTAGCATCAAGTTTTGCACAGTCAAACTTCTGAAAGTGTTCAAAATCTAGGGATTTTTTGCAATACTGTTCAATCGGGCAGAATTTACTCACTTCACCTTCAAGCTTGGTCAAGTCAATTTCATGAAACTAAAGTGTGTGTGTGTGTGTGTGTGTGGGAGATTTGTTCTCAGAATTGTCATGCATCATTATTTATAAGTGTACTCTAAGCCAAAGCGTCACTCCCTAACTACATCACTGTGCTGTTAACTACCAATCTTTTAAACCGCTGGTCGAACGCTTGCATTGATCAGGGTGGGAACATCGGTCTTTGTCTTTGCTTAATGTATGAACAAAATCAAACACTGATTATTTAATTATCAATGCTACGATTAAATCCATGTATAGTATATCGCTCACAGGTGCTTGAAGTTCTGCTGTGCTTCTCGCAGTTTCTTGCTTTGTGTAAAGATTCTTAAATAAGCTGGAGTTGGACTTGGAAAGGTTTTCCAGAGCTTTTCAAGAGAACAAAAATGAAATGAAATCATTCAATGTGGTGTAATAATTATGATGTACATTTAAGACGTGGACTCTAAATATAAATAAAAAAAAAAGTGCCATGATTCCCTGGTGTTTAGTGATGTAACTGGTGTGGTTCGGTCTGGAGTGCTTCAGACATTTTTTGCTATGACACATTTCACAATACTTGGGTTACTTTTTCAAAACTCTTCACACAGTGAGCACAACATCAGTATATGCAGAGGTGTGATGTTCTGGTTCAGAAAGTAAAACTCGCCTGGATTTGCTAATTGGCACAGTTTTTCAGCCAGGAGAGAGAACTAATTCCTGAAATCAACTCTCTGAGTTCATGGGTGGAATAAATAAATGGCAGGACTTTTACTTACTGACACATGGACTTTACATATGTGGGTTTAACTATGATTATCATTGCTTTGGCACAAAATGCATTCAATGATGACATCTTTCAAATGACGTGAATGGATTTCCACTGAAACTCTTATGTATGAGGCCAATTTGCATGCTTACATTACATACTCTTCAAAACTCTTGAACATGTAATGGGTGACAACACCCCTTTTTTTAAACCAGTTCTAAGGACCATCAATACTGTCAATATAACATAAATCAAACAAATAAGTTAATTTAATAGATTCATATGTATAAAATGGGATATTATAGCTATTTATTAGAAAACTGACATTCAGAGTATCATTAAAATATCACATGAATTTAAATTAAGGACAATGTACAATACAAATATTTTTGTCTTTTTAATTAGTGTGGGTTCATATAATATAATTAGTAAACTGAATTTTGCTGTGCCTTTTTTTACTTAATTCGTAGAATGTATAATATGTAAGGATTATTTAAATCAATTTGATGGAATTTTACTATACAATTGAAATTTGCAAATCTTAAAGGCTTAACATTTTTGTGTGCGTAAAACAATTAAACTGGTTTAAAAGAGGCAGAAAGTCTTAAATTCATAAAGTCATGGCATTAAATAATGATAGATAGATAGATAGATAGATAGATAGATAGATAGATAGATAGATAGATAGATAGATAGATAGATAGATAGATCATTCTCTAGTATTTTTGTCATGTTTTTCAATACAGATTTCCAAACATCTTTAAGACACATTACTTGAGATGTAAATGTAAAGTCTTTTTACAAATGTTTTTTTTTTTTTTTTTTTTTTTTTTACATTTTCTAATTGTATATTATATTTTCATTTTAATAAACTCTGAATATATACCGTAATTGCAACTTTTTTACTAATGTAACCTTTGGGAAACAAAGTCAGTAAAACATATAGGCTTTGAAGCACAATGAGATTAAATTCAGCATGATCTAGTATGAATCTAGATCATTTCCTAAGACTAAATTCAGGAGATAAAGCAGACTCCTCCCATTCCCAAGCACCCAATTCATCCATTGTCCTATATGGCAGACATGCTGCAAACGGCACCATTTGTTTCTTTCTCTTCGCCCTGCTCGCATTCACATTCTTACCCTGTGTGAAACACAACAATATGACCTAATCAATATTCTTTTGTCTCCAGTCTTCACATTTACATGCTAAAAACAATCTGCCCCATCAGCATCAACCTCCATTCTACATCTACTCGATCTTTGCACTTCTAATGTCCATCTATAAACATCACCAAGAGTATAAAACATAGTCTTTTCTGAATTGTCTTTATAGAATTGAACTGATTATAAAATATTTAGGACTTAATGTGGTTATTATGAAATAGTGGTTTATTATATACTAAATTTTGTTAACAGAAGTAACAAATTAATCAAATAATGTTCCTTATGTCATAAGTGAAAAAGCCAAATTAAACATTTTAAAAACAAAGTCGAAAGCAATGGGCATGATATGATGTTTTACACCTCTTACAAGGCATATTTGTTTTATTATAGATTCATATATCAAACATACAACAAGGCACATTGCGATCATATTCAGTCAATCTTACAACATGAATTGAACATAAAGTACAACATTGTAAAACAACAACAACAAAAACAATGTACAACGTTAAATAAAGGGAAAAGAGACAAGAAACTCAGCAGTAGATGCTTGGGAATGAGTTTGCATAAGTATTCATGAAAAAATAGGTTTTTTTTGTTTTGCTACATTTCAGGGATTGTTTAGACATAATTATATCATTTAGAAAGGCATTAAAGATGGGGTGTTTTAAGAAATCGACATTTGTGTATGAAATATATGAGAAATTGGGGGTGGGTTTGTGTGTGCAACATTTTAGGGATTGTTTATACAGAAAAGCATTAAAGACAGGGGATGTTTTAAGGAATCGACATTCGTGTATGAATTATTTTGACATTAAAATCAGATTATTCACTGCAAACTCAGTTGTTCTGTTTGAAGTCCAAACTGCACGTATTCATTTGTTAACGTACATGAACCAGTAACGTTACTGGAAAGCATCCCAGAAGGTCTGGGTTACACTACAAGAGAAGAAGAGATGTGTTAATGTTATAATTACAGAAAACGCAAAAATTCACATCCTTATTAATCTTATAAAGCATAATCACGTTTTAATTTATAATAAAGTTAGGCTCACGATGGGCCTAAAAACTAATCTCTATCCGTGAAACCTTATACTTTTCTCAGCGCTGATCGGGACCGTCCAATCACAGTCGTTTGCTATCGGTAGTTGCCCCTCCCCCTGGCTGTAAAACGGAAGCAGATTTCGCCAGATTTCGCCTCCTGATGTCACTTCCACCCGCGCCATTTGCTGCCGCTGCTTCCTTTGTTCAGAGCGTAGATAAGCTTCAGCACGCGCTTTCTCCATCAGTTCTGACTTCGCCTGATTTCTCCGCGAAAACCGTGATCAACATGGATGCTAATAACAAGAGGAAGAGCAGCAGCGGGGACAGTAAATATCTGCCGGAGTTACTGGCGGAGAAGGACAGCCTGGACTCATCGTTTACGCACGCGATGAAACTCCTGGGTGCAGGTCAGTGCGTCTCTATCCACCATTAAACAATTTACGCAGATCAACTATAAAATGTTTAATATTTGTCCTCGAGATGTTTGAAGGGTGGTTATTTAATCTATACTCACCGGAGAGAGTTTGACGTGCGTCGGTGAAATGCGTGTTTGTAGGCCAGAGGCGGGGTTTTGCTCCGGTAGGCCGCATCGTGTTTTCCAACGCAATGCTCTATGGCGGGGGATTTATTTTTTTTAAATTGCGTTTAAAGTTGAGTTTGGGAAATAACCATTTCTGCCGACCTGAATTTATAGTGCATTTAGGCCAATTGTAGAGAATGGGTTCAATGAGGTTGAAAAGGTGGTTTTCAATGCATCACTTTAGGGCAGCATCACGTGTTTCCTTTGTGAAAAAGAGCTATCCCATAATTCCTCCAAAGAACCCCAAGATTGCAGACAAAGAAATGTGGATTGTGTTTTTTTTTATCCTCACCTTTTTTTATACTTTAAAGTCACATTTTCATCTATATTGCATATTTCTGAGTGAAACTTCTCGAATAGAAATGCTAGGCTGGACTTTTGTTATGAATTAAATGAATTGCTCTCGTTTGCGTCTATTTGTTGAACAAATGTCTAAATGTAGCTTAAATCTTTGGCCAAATATTTATTTCTCGACTTGCTTGTGTGTTTTGGAAATAAGTTTAGTGATAGAATGTGAATGTCTTGTTTAAGCTATTCATCTAATATATAGTTTTTAAAGTCTATTAAATTGTAGATTTCCTACCCAGTAAATTATAAACTTGCTCAATTTAATAATATTAAAAGTGTACCTTTTTTTATTTTTGAGATTTTGATTTTTAAGAGTCTTCATGGATTTCTAAAGATTCTATTGTGTGCAAGACTCTTATGTTGGAATATATAATTTAAGATAATGTAAAGTGACCCTTTTTATCAAATTTTCATGTAACCCCTCATTGTGTAATTTAATTTAGAATTTGCATTAATGTAATTTGTTTGTAACATGTTGGATGCAATACAATTTTAGGTTTGTTGTCTTTCACACATTACATAGAAAACAGGTTATGGTTCATTCAAGAAAGCAAAATCCTGATTGGAGGGCCTGCATTAATTTATTTAAATCCATTAACTACAAAGATCAACGGTCATACAAATCAATGTCCTTTTTTATTATTCAATTAAATTAATATTTCCATCATCACAAACCATTGTGATTTGGTCCAGCCTGACAAGAACTGGTTCCACATGACAACACTGCAGCTTCAGTGACTTTAATGGTATAAAACTGAGGTTCTCAACTCTGTCCTCAAGATCCTCTTTCCTGTAGAGTTCAGCTCTGATCAACATCCGCCTGTATCTTACTAGTAATCCTGGAGACCTTGAGCAAATCTCTAGGAAAGTGGATCTTGAGTTTCTGCTTAATTCGGTTCTTTAACAAGCAAAGTTCTTCTAGTACTTTCTTTAACCTGAGATCTGTGGGAAAAAAATTGAAAGTTATGGTATTTTAACTTTTTATTACAAAAACTGCAACCTGTTAGTGATTACACACTTAAATCAGTTTATACAACAGTTCTCAATTCGTTTCTAGTTGAATTTGAAGAATGTTTATAACTTCTTGGGTTGATGTGGCAATGCAAAATCGAACCACTTGATTTTGCAGTGAGCTGATTGTGTTTTCTCTTGCAGAGATTGAGCGGGTTCAGAAGGGTGAGCCAAAAAAAGAGTCTGAGACATACCTGGATCTGTTCACTGCCAAGAATGTGAGGGTGAAAGAGCGAGTGCTCATTCCCGTAAAGCAGTATCCTCGGGTAAGTCATGCGCCGTCGAGTTCTCTTCAATGCAAGGACTTGTTGTACATTTAACTAATATTTTCTCATTTCTCCTGTCAGTTTAATTTCGTGGGAAAGATTCTGGGGCCGCAGGGCAGCACCATCAAACGTCTGCAGGAAGACACCGGGGCAAAGATCTCAGTGCTTGGCAAAGGATCCATGAGGGATAAAAACAAGGTAATGAAGTCTTTGCTCTGCTAATGAGTTTACTGTTAAATGACCTGGTTATTAAAGCTTAAATTGTGAAACCTTTCAGGAAGAGGAGCTGAGGAAGGGTGGTGATCCGAAGTATGCACACTTGGCCATGGAGCTGCACGTGCACATCGAAGTTTTTGCTCCCATTCCCGATTGTTACCTGCGTATGGCACATGCCATGGATGAGGTTAAGAAGTTCCTAATGCCTGTAAGTCTAAATACAGGCCAAATGAGGCTTTTACATCCCATTTTTATTTATTATCTAGGCATGAGCCGGTCACTAGAAGTTGTATTCGCTGATAACGATCACCAAAATAAAGAATACTACATGAATAATGGAGGGCTTCGTTAATCATGTCCCTTTAATGGTGGGGCCTATTTAGCTATTAAAAAGACATTTTTAAGAATAAATTAAGAGATGAGAGCATTAATTGACAACTAAGCTATGTGCAGCATCCCATTCCCTCTCTTAAAGGCGAGTAGGAACAGCTTGGAGCTTAAATATAGCATTCCTGTGGGGGAAAAGTCTATCAACTAAGTAAAACCCACTGCATAGTCTTCACTGTGAATTTAATATAGATTAATCGTAAGTCTACTAAAGAGTAGTGAGTGATTTGTTTTTTTTATCAACATTGAAACAGACTGCTGTCACTTTAAGAACGACTGCACAGATTTAATATGCTGTTACACATGCAACCTAATTCACAACTGTTTGTTCATTTCAGACAGAACCGATTGTTTAGTAAATGCTCTCCAAGCCGGCATTTGTACATTTCGTAGTGTTTTTGAACCCAACGAATGACACTGAGGGGCGTACGCGCAAAGCTGCTTCGAGAATATTGTCTCTTTTGTGGCTTAATGCTGTTTTAACTCTTAAGCCTGCAGTTTAGCAACAGTATACGGCATTCACTGATTTGGTAGTTAAGTTTAGGCTTTAAGCATTTCTGTTTAAATCGGTTTTCCCTCAATAAAATTAATTGTTCAATCTGATTTATCCTTTTTTGTCAGGTGGATGGTATTGATGAGATGCATCCGGATGCTTTCATGGATCCAGGGTTTTTGAATGGCTCCCAGGACATGTCTGGCCACGGCAGAGGTCACGGTCCTCCTGGAAGAGGTCGCGGTGGCCCACCACGGTGAGAATCACTATATGTAGCAAACAGAGGCTATATTTTTTTTATACGGAGTCATTGTTTTTAATGATCTGAACAGTCGTAAGTGTTTGGAGTGTATATGTAATGCACTTTCTCGTAGGGGTCGCGGTATGCCCCCTCGTGGAGCGCCGCGTGGAGGAGCTCCAAGAGGAGGTCCAGGGCGCGGAGCTGCAGCACGAGGAGCCCCCGCCGGACGGGGTGGTCCTCCACCCTCCACACCAACCAGAGGAGCAGGTGCCTCTCGATCAAGACCACCAGCACAGGCTCAGAGGATGACGCCAGCAACTGCTCTCTCCCACCAACAGCACTCGGTCAAAACTGAAGCTTACGGGGAATATGTGAGTATATCCTCAACACCAGCAGTTGCTCCTGTTTATATTCGTTGCCATTTCAAAGTTTGGGGTAGTTATTGTAATATAAATGCATCCTTGCCCTTAAAGCTACTATTTTAGTTTATTCTTAGCTTAAAATACTTGGTTCTTTCAAAAATATGTGCTCATTAATGTATATTTACTTTCGTTCAAGTAATAAAGTATTCTCGTGAGTGTATAATATGCCATTGAAACTACTGTACATACGGGTAAGGGGTTCTAATGTTGCCCCTCCATCTTGAAAGTACATTAGCCAAAGAGGGACATACCCGTTAATTCGAGCTTCGCCTTTCGTGTTTGTTTGAGTTAACGCTCATGGACGAGGTCGAACTGTAAGGGATGTTAATCTTGGACTACATTGGCCACTGTAGGAGTTAAAACGAAATCGGTATTGAGAGGAACAGAAACTAATATTCACTGGATGGTCATATACCTTTTCACCGCTAGATGGGGGTAAAAATCACACAGTGTAGCTTTAAGTTAATTTTTCTTACCAATTTTAATAAATGCTGTACTTTTGAATGTTATTCTGTTGAATATTTTTGTGCAAACCATATTTTCAATATTGATGACATTTTTAGTAAGCATCAAATCAGCATATAAATGATTTCTGAAAGATCTGAAGACTGCAGTAATGATGCTGAAAAAATCAGCTTTAGCAACATGGGAACAAATTACATATTAACCATTCTGTTGGATTGCGCCAGTAATTTGTAACTTAAAAGGCTTTGCGAGTCTTTATATGTTTGACATCTCCATTGTCTCCTATGCTTTCTCAGGCCTATGAAGAACCATATCCAGAGGCTGCCTATGAAGGATATGAGAGCTACTACAGTCAACCTGCACCACAGCCGTGAGTGCCTGTTCCTCACCATCTGTTTCTTTAGATTTGAGATTCTTCCTTTTTGATTAATTTCCAAAGTTTTAAGTCAAAATGGTTCTAAAAAAGTCAATTTGACTCAATGAAATGCTTTAACTTAATGGCCAGCCACATTCCCAAGTCCTACCATGATTTAAGATTAAGACTAAGTAAAAATGGCTTGTTTATTAATTATTCCTTTTTTTCCTTCCACAGAGACACAGAGTATTATGACTACGGTCACGGTGAGGCACAGGAGACTTACGAGTCTTACAGTAAGACATGTTCTCGATTGTGCAATGTATAAAACGGCTCTTATGTTAGATGTTTAGCATGCTTAAGCTACAACAGCCAAGTGCCTAATGCAAGGAAAAGTACATGAAGCACTTATCCTTGAGTGAATATCCATGTTTAATGTTTATTTGTGTGTTTAGCAGAAGACGACTGGGAAGGCGCCGCTTGGGGTGGTGCTGGGGGAAAGGCACCTCCTGCCCGGCAGGGCAAGTCCTTTCGGGAACACCCGTATGTCAGATACTGAGAGCTTTCCGTCACTGCAGTTGTTTGGGCAACCGCCTCCCCTCGTAAACCTCTTGTAACCCACCCAAAGTAATTCTAGTTGTTTTTTGTATCTTGTTTTTGGTTGACACTCCCTTTTTAATATGAATCTACTCTTTACGTAGGACGATGACCATTTATAAGTTCAACATGACACGTTTTAGATTTGCGATTTATGCTGTGCTATTTGTTTTTACTTTTATTTCTTTTCTTTTAATGGTTAAGTGTTTCTTCTCTGAAAAATGGATACCTGAATGCTAATTAGCTGATGTCCATGTGTAAAGTGACTTGCTAAAAAAAGAGAAAATTGCCTGTTAATATCACTTAGATTTATTCCAAACGCGCTTTTTGTTAGGCATAGCAACAAAAAAAAAAATTGAGGGATGCTCTTAAAAACAAGTTCCTGTACAAACCAACATGTTACTTAGTTTTCAAATGAACAAATTCCATTTGGTTTGAGGCTATTTATTGTTAAGTCTCGTGAAAACATTCAAAATTCGCTGATTCCTTTTGTTAATTCATTGAGCAAAACGATATCCCAAAGGTTCAAGTTTACTTCTAGACAGGTAAAAGTACAGCCCTCTCAAACCTTTGTACGTACAATATCCAAATATTAGACTTGTTTTTTTGATGTTTAGTTTTGCAGTTTGCGTAATATTAGCAAAGTTGTGTGCATTGCCTAACTAGGGAACTAAATATGTCGGAAATGTGTCCCTATCAGTTTGTCAATAAAGCATAGTTTTCTTTTACAGCCTACAAAACGTTTGTTTTTGACTTATTAAAGTTGTAATAGTCATCCTATATAAAACTGTCAACTGTTGTCAAAATTCTGCATGCTTTTTATAACATCACAATATTTAGATGGAAAACTTGTTTTGATGTTCAAAATATATTGTGTATAAACCGTTGATAAATAGCCTGCAATTAGCGGAGTTATTTGTGTCAAGTAGATCGGGAAAAAAGCTGCACCTTATGTCTTGTACAGGAACAATTGACAATTAACATTAAAGACAAATATTTCCAAAATCTGTTGCCTTGGTCCTCCAACAAGCTAATTTGAGTTTATTTTTGAATAATTTAAAGGGGTCATGCCTTTTAAAATCAGTTCATGCTTTTGATGGCCGTTGTACAATGAAAACACTCAGAACTCAAAACTTTCAAGTAAATGAATTAACTCGATTCGGTAAGACAACTTCGATGAAGTGTCTGCCTGTTTTGGTGCAAAAACAAGTGGGTATGACCTCTTTAACAGAAAATAGTCAAACTATTCATCATTAACAATGATTTATACACAATCCTGGAATTTTAATGTGTTTATACCTGTTTTAAAAGCGATAACCCTGTTGCAACCTCGCATCAGTCACTAAATCCCTCTGATGTCACAGACTCTACATGTTTGTCTTCTATTGAAAAGGATCTTGAGGTAAGACCTGCAGAGTCACCTCTAAAAGCACAGATAGATTCCCCTTTTTAAAAGGTAAAGTATACATGCACAAAACAATTTAGATGTTTGGTGCTCACTTTGCGTCCAAAACAACAAAAAAAAAAGCAAAAGAAACGGCATGAGATGTATTGTCCAACCAGATCACTCAAGGCAAAGGCTTTCGTAGCCCAGGGTCAAAGTTTTGACTGTGAAGATGATTCAAATGTTCGCCGGCTTAAACGACAAAATTGGGAAAGATGGCGTAAAGTGTAATGCAAGCTTCAAAAAGGTAATATCAACCCTAAACTTCTCTCTTAGCACAACTGTTCATTCACTCATTTGTACACAATCATTTGCAAATTCAAATTGCGTTGTTTACAAATTCAAAAGTCAATATTCCTAAACCTGGATAACAACATAAAACATTCAACTTTCTCAAAACAAGCATAGTGTTATTTTATATGCAAATCTTGTGTTAAAAACAAATAGATTCTAGTTTTGTCAAAATTACATTGTTATTAAAAGTTTTCTTGAAGCTGTACAAAATAGACAAAAAAAGACCTCAAATTTTACAAGTATTAGATATTTGTGTAGAGCTGGACTTGTCTTTTTGTGAGGTTGTGTGTACTAACTTTTCTCTTGTGTTGCTCAGTGACTGATGGCGAGAGCTTCTCTCCAGACTGGGTCTACTAGGCAGCTGCTACAGGTGAAGTGTGTGTGTACATATTTAATGAGTTTTCAGCAAGCAGTTGTTTAACCCTCAAACCGTATTCACTTTATAGCCCTTAATCCTGTAATTGTGGACAAATGTGGGCACAGAGGGCTCAGGTGTGATCCTAATTTTTATTTATTATAAATGTTATCACTGTCTTCGATTGAAGTTTTGTCTATCCATTTATGGTGTTTTTTTGTTTGTTTGTTTGTTTTGTAATGTAAATTATGCTTATTTTTTAACTACATTAAAATATCATTCCAATAAGTTCTTAAAGCTTAAACCTCTAAGTTTTTTTTCCATTCATTTCTATGGGTGCCCGTTTTTGACCCAAATACAAGATTAAGGAGTTTTTCACCCACTTAACATCGTAGAATTGGGTCAAATTGTGTGTTCAGGAGACAAACTTATGAAAAGTAGCCATGTCTTGTACCGCTCATATCAAGGGAAATATTTTTTTAAAATAAATCTCAACTGTTTTGCCCACATTTGTCCAGAATACAGTTTTAGGGTTAAATGTGCAAATACAAGAAATATCATTTCTTAATTGTGCACAAATTTATAATTGGATCTGGTGGCTCCACTTTATATTGGGTCTTATCAAATGATTAATAGTACATTGTAGTGCACATTGTGTACCTGTTTTACACTGATATTTTAAACATACCTGTGTCTAATTACATCTGTAACTAATTTCTGTGATTCCTCTTATTTGGAATTGGCTCTTTTTTCTTTTTTAAAAAGTTTGGTTTTGTGCTCAGTCAAATTGAAACATTTGTTGTGTAAACACCCTTTAACATTTCATAATTGGAAAGAATGTATGCGTGTTCTATCATATAGTGCTTATATTAAAAATAAATGATTTCCTGTTAACTTTAGTGCTTAACTTGCAATTTAGGTTATTGCCAAGGTAACTTAATTTTAGTTTGTCAACGTATGCGACACGATCTGGGAAAACCCACCACATGGTGAAATTTGATATTACAGGTTGTGTGATCATATTAAAGCTGGGTTCAAGCCCTTTCCAAATCGTTTTTTATTTCTGTTATAGTTTGTCTGTAACAAAAGTTACGGTTATCTGAAGTTGGCTGATCTCCATGATTTTCAGAAATGAAATTGAGAAACAAGTTTCATTAACTGGGACGTCATGCTAGCGTGACGACTGACTTTTTTTTTTTTTTTGCCTTTTCATATCACATTTTAGTTATCATAGATTAAGTGTCATTCGAAAGCTCACAAACTCAAAATTCATCCTGTGAAAACTGTTTTGAAATTGGACTATTGAGAGGCGGGCAAGGTCTTAAGCGAGCAGCTTTAAACTCTGTTCTGCTTTACACTACAATAATACTGGATAAAAATAAATAAACTTGTGTGCCTGTTACGACCCTTCTTTGGCTCGTTCCCATCTAGGGAATTTTAGAAGGGGAACACAGAACCGGTTCAATGAAACCTCTCTTTAGACCACTTAATGTGTTGAGAAAACACGAGAGACACTCAGAGATATAAAGAAAAATAATTTAATAGTAAATAAGTTGGTTAACATAATATGTGAAAAAGGGCAAAAGGAAAAAGGGAAAACAGGATTTGTGCCAAATAAACGAAAGTAACATAAACAATACTAACTAGACCATCTCCAATCTAAACCTAGACTAAAACAAAAGAACAAAGAAAAAGTCTTCAACGTCCTAGACGCCGTGTCTTAACTACACTAACTAATAACAAAAATACAGGGGGTGGCACAAATCTCTAACCTAGTGAATATAGACACACAGAAAACCTAAGTGTGCAAAATGTATGTCACGTGACATTCTTACCTATTCCCTTTTCTCCTTCCCAACTAATCCAGCCTTGCAAAGCTGCTTAACAGACTCAAAATCTCACAAATGTGAAGTTTCAGGGAAAACTCGAAAGGTAAGCATAACATGACAAAATAAAGCAACACTTAACAAAACTAAATCAACTGGAGAGAAAACAAAAAAAACAAACATCTCAAAACAAAACCAAAGTCTCTCAAAGCAAACACAAAAATCTCTCTCTCTTCCCGCCGTTAGCACGCGTCTTAAGTAGGGCTTCTCCAGGTGTCGCGCATCGGGCTGATGAAGATCCCGCCTCCCAGGCAAAACCCGCTCATTACGCTGATTGACATGTGTTATAGCCAATCAGCGACGACCTGTGAAAGTGAAAGTAAGGAAGAGAGACAAAAGAAAAACACAAACCTCGAAGGAAAACAATCTAACCGTCCCTAAGGACGTAACAGTGCCGTTGTAGTTTACACAGGACTTGCGGGTCCATTATTCTGCTATGTGGTTTATTTTGATAGGTGAAACTGTCTTTGTAGTGTTGGAACTAAATGGCCCTCACCCCCGCTCCACATTTTCTTAAAGAGAAAGACGCATCTTTTCAGCTTGCCACTATAATTTGCCATTTTTTGGCACTAATCTAGTGAATTTTCCCCAAGATATATTCAGAGATGATAAACAAGATGTTATAGAAAAACGTATTAAACCTGAATTTGACAAACTGATATTCAATCTATTTTTAGACTTTGCTGAAAATGTACAAGCGTGACATCCGACAGTTTTTCCCTGATGGCATCACATATTTAACAATTAGCAAATGTTTATAAGAGTTTAAGGGGTGTTTACATGACAAATTTTTCACACACAGACAAAAATGTTGTTGATCTCCAGTCACATGGATTTGCAAAGGACAAACTTGTCTTTTTGTACATTGTAAGCGTGTCTTTGTTTCCAATAACCCTGCTGTAACACGCTCTATGCACGAACCCTGCTGACGTATGTCCGAAAGAATCTCAGCCAGCTTCTTTACTTCCGCAAGCGCGTTCTGCAGGCAAAGTGTATAGCGGCAAAACTTGAATAAAATTAATTTTCTCAGAAACTGAGACAACGATTTTAGAAACTGATTCGCTAGTCGGATTTTACACGATATGAGCAAATACTCGCCCTCAAAGTTGTTGATGTAGCTCAATGTATAATTTAAAGCCCTTCTCTTTTACTGTTATGTGACGGCTAACTCCCTCAGTGTTAACATCATTCACATTAACCGCAGGAAGCTTTTGTAAACAGCAAGTGTAATTTGCCACTATCCCCGGCTAACGCAAAACCCGCTTCTGACGCAGCACCGGATGTAACTGGGCGTGCTGTGACGAACAAGGAAGCGATCGTGCATAGAGACCACTAGGGTTGGGTATCGTTTGAATTTGAACGATTCTGATTCCGATTCCTTGTTTCGATTCCGGTTCCTAACGATTCTCGATTCCGATTCTTTTAAGAGGCAGGGTCAAAAAAGTTTAGCTAACCTTGCTAACCAACGGTCTTTCTGAAGGAAATAATCCTTTCTGAAGGAAATACTCCTTTTGTCACAAATTTTGCATTTTGCCGAGATTTCGTTATTTTTTAGAAAAGTGAAGCCACACTTTGGATCGCCGACGTAAGGTACTCATGTTCGACTCGCGCGGTTATGCCAACACTTCCGGTAGACGCTTCTTCGTTGGTGTTGTTCAACGGTTTCTTCTCCCGCTCGGCGGACTGTGAATATCGAAACTAGGAATCGAAATTTTAACTTTTGAACGATTCCGGGAAAAACAAAAAGTTAGTCTCGGTTCCAATCGATACTCGATTCTCGATACCCAACCCTAGAGACCACTGCATCTGTGTGTACTTTTTTGAACGTTCCTTTAATCCTCCCACACTGAACCATAACACCAAACTTGTTCCAGCAAGTGTTTCAATACAACATGAACACCAAGTGCATTGTACCCAACCATATTTAATATTAATAATTTATTTTGCCATAAGAACATGATAAAGAAACCTAATATAAAGTGGCACTGATTTGTGATTGAACTTGTACATGACTGCATTCCTTGGCATAATCAAAAGGATTCTTCAGAGCTTTTGAACCTCAATTTCCTTTCGAGATTTGTTATCTTGGTACTGAGATTAAATAGCTTTTTTAGCTAAATATCTGAATCCTGATAAACGTTCTGGCCTTCTTTTTTAGTTTTAAAGAGTCCGACAAGGACATTTCCATAGTATGCTACTTTCTAGTTGTACTTCTGTCACTTGTCTTATGTAAAGTGTTGAACTGCAGCTGCGTCTCTAAAGCTTGATGTCATGTTACATCCCGTTTCTGATTCCATAGCAAGTTCTTTCATGTTTTCTTTTGACTGGAACTGTCGTGGAAAAGTTCAAATTCATTGGACCAAAAGTTTTGGTTCTCTAATGTTTCTGTGGGACTTGTGTATTGTATAATGAATGTGTTTGTGATGCGTGTTTGGAAGACGGATGTTGTTTTCTATAATAACTAATTGGCATGCGTGAGTACACATCCGTGGTCTTTAAGTGAGTCCAAGTCTGCAAAATGTCTGAAAGGTCATGTTCCAGTGAGACTCACTGTGTACAATCTGTTTCTCTGTTACAGGCTTTCGGTGCCATTTTGTACTGAAGAGGAAATTTACTGTACTTTTTTTATATATACAATTTTGTGTAATGTTTGGTGAATGAGTCATTTTTAATGTATTTTAAGTGGTCTTGTTACTCTTTTTATACATGCATTTTTGTATCCTAATAAATGATTTTATATGGATTTATTGTAGTTGTGTAACTTGTTTTCAGAATGTTTGTCTTGCTAAAGATAATTGAATGTCTCAAAGTTGTCACTTACATTTCAGTGCGTTTAACAAGTTTTAGCTTTACTTTTTATAAATAAACCCCAAAAGTTAGTCTAATGTGTTTGATTTTAAATTTGGTTGACAAGAAGTTGCTTACACATGTTTGGGGTGCTTCATTTAGGCCGGGGATAAGCCATTGGAAAATTGGTTGGTGTTCCTCATTTTAGTGTTTGGTCATGGCCAGCATTTACCTGCTTTCTCTAAACTTCACATCTGAAATGTATTATGCAGCTGCACACTGTGGGCAAAACCAATTGAAGTTCATTTTCTGTTAGGCTGACGGCAACCATTTTGGTTTGTGAGGGGAATCAATTAACCAGGGCTAATTCTTTAACCTTTATAGATGACAAATCCAATGAGAAACAAACCTTTTCTCTTCGTGGTCAAACTGCTTTAGCTGACCCAACGATTAGACACAATATTAAAGATAAAACTTTTAGCCTTCAGGAAATTAAAAAATGCTCAGGTTTAGGAGAGGAAGAGACGGCAGGATAGAGACCAAGAGTGATGGAGATGAGAGTGCAGGTATTGACAACTGCCTGCCTACTAGTTTGTTTGTAAAGCTGTTTCTTATCCTTTTTTTTTTTTTTGGTCACGAACATCTTAATGCACAATTTTCTCAGGAGTCCCCAAACCCCCTTAAAGGGATAATTCACTTTGAAATTAATTTGATATGTTTTAGCTTACCTCAAGGGCATCCAAGATGTAGGTGTCTTTGTTTCCACAGCATTTTCAATTTTTACTTTTTTAGGTCAAACTGTTGTTTGTCAGTCATATAATGCAGGGGCTCGTTCTTCGTACGTCGCTAACTCAGTTAGCTGGATTTGATTGTTGGCGATTTGCCATGATCTTGGATCGTTTGGTTCTTCGACGCTCATCCTGGACTTGCTGTCATAGCAACAGGTCCGTCAGCTTGAACCTGCTCGCGAGCAGGCTTATTTCATGTAAACAGGATTAGATCGCGGCTGATACGGAAGTCCTTCAGCGCAGCGCGATAGTGTAGCCTAATTTCTGAGATTTATTTTTGTTTTCTCGTGAAACGATCGTCGTGAGGGTGTCGTTTAAATACATTATTATTTTTGTTGGAAATGCACATTAATGTTCGATTCGATATCGGGCTTCAACAACAGCACAAAATGTTTGCATTGCCCTAAAATTATTTGCGAGTGGCTTCCTTTACACTATTGGAGATGCGGAGAACTTGATAAGCTTTCTGTCGTGCCATTCACAAAGTAGTGTTCTTAGTTTTTTTTTTTTTTTTTTTTTTTTTGCCAACTTAGGGTATATTATAATTTTTAATGAAGATAATCATTATGACTTACAGTCCCTTAGGCTTAACTTACGTGATTGGTGCCATACACTGTAGACTACACACATGTTCCCATCAAGGCCTCAATGAAGGGATTTTGTGAGCAGAAAGGGGGCTTATACAGTGCAGCCAAATTACTATTACAATTTTTAATATTCCAGATTTGGAATATTATATCACTTTTTTTAAAAGGCATTTGACTGAGTAAAATCTTTTAGATGGTGTGTGACCATGTTCTATATCACAAATCAGTGTGAAAGCAAAATGGCCAGGATCTGTGCATGACTCAAAAATTTTAAGAGATTCACATTTATGAACATTATTTGAACATGGTAAGGAAAATTATAAATATCAAACTCACGGTATTACATACACTTATGCTGAGAACTGCATTTTTCCATTAAACAGGTGATTACAACAGGATCCTGCATGGAGACAGGTGTTTTATGACCCCATTCCCTGACCCAAACCCCAGACCAGTTACAATGCAGCTCTAGGACAAGGGCACACAATGACATGAGCTTTGGCCAACTAAAGGGAAGATTTCAATGTCTAAAAACCCTGAGGGTTGCACCTGACAGGGCCTGTGACATTGCATGTGCCATATTACACAACACTGCCAACATCAGAAAAAGAAAAAAAATGTTTAATTAAGCCTAAAATAAAAGACAAGACAAATTTGCAAAACTCTGTTTGCTTAGAGTTTTATTTCAATAGTTTTTTGTAAAGAAAAGCCAGTTATTCAGTAATCTTTTTAAAAGATATTATGCAAGGTCAGTAATAGTACTCTGTGTGATTTTACTCTGAAGTTTATTTTGAAGCAACTCTATTTCTAGTGCAATTTTTTCTTAGTCAAGTTCTGTTTCTCCCCCTGATTTTTGTTCAAAATACTCTATTTTCTGCTGAAGACTCATATAGGGAACAAATGCAACAAATAAAAAGCAAAAGTTGTCTACACTGCCCACCCCTGTATCACTGCTGTGTGCAGACTCTTCTGTAGGCCTTTCTGTACTACATGTGGACTCTTGTCAGAAATAATGGCATAGGCACAAGTAGAAATCAATTAAAGCCATCAATTAAATTAAAGTACTTCCTCCAAAGGACAGTCATCTGAGAAGTTTTCTTCACTCTCCAGTGCAATGTGATTGATAACTCATGGCAAAATATTTTTTACATTAACATAAGTTTATCAGTTTTTACTTTCACAAGACAAAGCAATTTATCATTACTCAAGATTTAACAGTTGAAATGACTAAACCAGCCAATTTGGATTATTGGTCTACTTCATTTAATGCAGCAACAAATTATTTCACAGTGTACAAAGATAATTTAAATCTCATTTCCCAGTAATGAAGGTGTTGCTGCTACTGGTCCCTGATGTGGCTCTGGAAGAACTGAACCCAGGGATGCCCTTCACAGGGCAATTCACATTCAACCCAAGGGTCAGCTCTTCTGCCAGGGTCAGGAGCATCATTATTATTATTTTTTCTCAGCATTTCTCCTGTTTGCTTTTTATAAACAGACAATCATTTATTTAACAGTGGCTTTTTAAAAGAGACTAGTAGGCCTATAAGGCCTAAAATTCCCATTAAGTAGAATATTTTTGTACTTCACTTTCACCATGTCCATTATTATAGTGTGGTGACTCGACATTACATTGAACAAAGTAATTATGAAATTATGAAAATAAAAATAAAATAATAATAAGTTATTAAAACATCTAACATGGCCACCACAAACGCATTTAATTTGTCTTCTAGTTTTGCCAGCACTCTCTCCTGGCTTTTGCACACTTTGAGGTGTTCCCTGGCGTTTTAATTAAACACTGAAATTCGGCATAACCTTGCATTAAAAGCGCTTGCTCTGCTTGGAGAAAAATGGGCGTGTTCTTTGGCCATGCTGAACAGCCAATAGCAGCGTTGCTGATCACTGGTTCTGCTATCGATACATGTCCCCTTTTTAACCAACGCGAGAACGCGCAGTTATCTCAGATAACTCAATCCAGCGATACTAATCATAAACAACAGGTGTGTTCGAAGAACCCAATTAGCCGGATCATGATTAGCACGATGATATCATCTTAGATGTCTCATTTGATCTCGGATGTTTTAAGCAACGTACGAAGAACGAGCCCCTGGTCTATGGGGATCTCCTAAAAGAGCATGCACAGAGAAGTCCAAATTAAACATGATTTAATGACTCGTAAATGTAAGTACACATTGATGGCCTAAGACATGAAACGAGCGGTTGTTGTGAGAAAACAAACAGTATTTATATCGTTTTTACCTACCCCTTGTTAACAGCCGTTGAACTGATCTGAATCAGATCACTGAATCAGACTGAACCGTCTTCAAAGCTACGCCGGAAGTGATCTCTCGTCACGCATTGTTTACACGGAAATTTCGGAAGTTTTACCTTTCACTAAACATATTTAGATATATCGAAATCGTCTTCAATTACGATTTCCCGTATATCTAAATATGTTTAGTGAAAGGTAAAACTTCCGAAATCTCCGTGTAAACAATGCGTGACATAGACGCGCGAGAGAGGTCACTTCCGGCGTAGCTTTGTAGACGGTTCGGTTCGGTTGAACATCTGATTCAGAATCAGATCAGTTCGACGGCTGTTAACAAGAGGTAAAAACTATATAAATACTTCTCGTTTTCTCACACAAACTGCTCGTTCCGGGTCGTAGGCCATCATTGTGTACGAGTCATTAAATCATGTTTAATTTGGACTTCTCTGTGCATGCTCTTTTAGGAGATCCCCATACAGACAACAATGGTTTGACCAAAAAAATGTCAAAATTGAAAATGCTGTTGAAACAAAGACACCTACATCTTGGATGCCCTTGAGGTAAGCTAAAACATTTCAAATTATTAATTTCAAAGTGAATTATCCCTTTAAAAGATCAATTTAGGACCTCAGTAATTATAAAGCCCCGTGGCCCTGTTAGGCATACCATCAATAATGAATGTGTGTATTGTGAATGAATTTAATAAACTTTTTTACCCAGCTTTCCTGGTAGCCTTTGGTAGGCTAATGTAACATCTGAGAAAATGATTAAAAAAAAATCGTTGACCCTGCTTTCTTCACAGACAAAAATAAAAAGCTTATATCACTCAGAGCTCAGAAGAGACAGGGCCAGATAAAAAGATAGAGATGAGATAAAAATGGTTTTAAAGCTTCTTTTTTTTTTTGTCTACAAAACATCTTAAAATGTTATAGCCCCGAACCCCCTAACTAATCAATTATAAAACCCTGCCTTTATATCTACTAATAAACAGCCGATATCCAAGTAACATGGTTGTTAAGCAACTACTTAACAGTGAGAATCGGACCCTAAGTGTTACCTTTTTTAAATCATACACTCATTAGGGGGTGATTCCCCTAAAATTAAAATCCTAGATTCGCACCACGCCTCGTTGGACAATAAGCGCGGTCGAAAGTTCGGGTCCGGCTCCTGGACCTTTCCTGAAATAAATAGCAAATACTCTATACGCTGTCGACACGACAGTCATGTGACTGACTGACTAAACCATATACATTCCCAAAAGCTTGGAATTTATTCACATAGAATAATAATAATAAAAATAAAAAAAATTAGAACATGTGTGAACGTTTGATACCACAGTGTTTATCGCGCGCGCGCGCGCGCGCGCGCACACACACACACACACACACACACACAGAGAGAGAGATGGTGGGCAAACGGTCTCTCTCTCGCTCTCTCTGTGGCCTTAGAAACTTATACATTTAGACAAGTATTTGAAAAGGGTGGGTTAATATCTTTTTAAAGTTGTTTATCGATCTGTTTTTATTATTTTATTTTGATTCTCTTAATTGTTTTTGAGTGTTTTTGCATTGACGTTGGTGAAACGGTATTAATTTCTTTATTTCACACTGTGAACCTGTTATAGCCTAGTTATTTTCCAATATTTTATTGATATTGTTTGAAATGCTATTCTTAGGCTTTTTGTTTTTATGCTCGTGAAGCACTTTGGGCTGCATTCCATGTATGAAAAGTGAAATACAAAATAAATGTTTATAACTATCCATAATTTCAGACATTTGTAGTGATCTCAAACTCAATTCCTGGAGGGCCACTGGCACAGCTCTGCACATTTTTGCTCCAACCCTAATCAAACACACCTGATCCAGATCCATTGAGCTAATCAAGGTCTTCAGGATTACTAGAAACTTCCTCACAGGTCAGGTGTGAGTTGGAGCTAAACTGTGCAGAGCTGTAGCCCTCCGGGAATTGAGTTTGAGACTAGTATAATTCCATTGTTTGTTTGCCATTGGGAGGCGCTAAAGCTCACGCAGGTGACTTTACAAACCGCTGTACGGATTGCTCCGCTCGAGAAGAGGGATTCAGTCCAGAAAATTGCATTCCTACAACGTCGTTGGGTTTATTTGCATCTCTTTGAAAAGTTCTCTCTGCTGTCGTTCGTTCCATCACTATTAAACCAGACCTGTTTACACGACTGACTGGATTAAAGTAATCAACATCAGGAATGCTGCCGTGTTTTCTCTGGTTGTGGATCGTTCTGCGGGGTGCAGGTTGGTACACTGATTTTTTTTCTGCGTTTTGTAACTCCGTGTTTCTGCTTGCAGGACCTCAGATGCATTTGAAACTGTCCATCCATGCTGAAACTATGTGATTTTTTTTAACATACGCCAATAGTTTATTATATAGAGCTAGAAACCTAAACAATCACGGGGTTAAAAACGTTGTTTTTATTCTTTAGAAGTTTCGTTTGCGTTTCCATGAGAGTCAGACTAAACCTAGTGGGAATGTGATATATTCCTAAGGCTTTTTAATCCTAGCTATTCTCTTCATTCCGAGCATATCTACTTCTCTAATGAAGTTAACTCTGTAACGTTAGGTACATTGTAACACAAAATGTTTGATTGTCTTGGACAAAACAGCAAACGCACAACAGAAAGAAGGAGTAAACTATTCCTGCTCCATTCTTTCATCCCTGGTGTGTGGACAAAGGTAGGCAGCTATAGCCTATATCTCAAACAGTTTCAAGTTTCGATAAACAGCATGTGTGATGCTGAGCGCATAGGCTACGCACGTGAAATGCGGGACAGAAAAAACGTGTTTTTATTCATGATTGTATTGTTTTCATTAAGACTGATGATAAAAAGTGAACGCCACTGTAAAAACTTAGAAAAGAAGTACATTTTTAGACTTCTTTATTTACTAGCTCTTTACAATGTCTCTTTTCTTAACAGTAGTTACTGCATTAACTAATAGACTACTAATCAATATATTTACCAATACTTTATATATATATGAGACAACATATTGAGTATTGTGGTATAGCAATACTTTTTGGATCAAGAGTCACTCATTTACTTAATATTTTAATGGTTTTATTTTGGCCCATCTACACTGATATCATGATGATACTATGTTAAAATTGCTTAACACTGGGACAAAAATTGAGCCCTGTCACTGAAGCCCTTCCAGCCTACATTATCAGCCCCAGACATGTGCATTATCAGCCCCAGACAAAGACATGTGCATTAATTGCACAGCGCAAGACAGAACGTCTGCCAACCTGCTGCGTTAAACATAGGCCTAGCTATAATTTGTATTGTTTAAAATTACTTTTCAAATTCCTAAGCTTGTAGAAGGTGGCAATATACTGACCTGTTAGCCTTGAGTAAATTAACTTGTAGATAATGATTCTTAAAACATATATTCATCAGTTAAGCCTATACTTTCTTCAGTGACACAGACGAAAATGAGCACGATAACAGTTTTAGGAGGGGAAGAAGAAGGGCAGTATAAGGGGAGACTGAGAGAAAAGCAAAGATGTAGGTTTGATAAGGAGAGAGCAGGTACTGATAAAATACAATGCCAACTGACATGGTTTTAAAACTATTTATTGTCCTTTTTTGGCCTTCAAAAGTCTTAAATTGCACATATGTAGGTCAGAGATATCAAAATTTTCTCGGGGCCCCTGAACCACCTTAAATACCTCACATTTTAATGCACATATTTGGGGCTGGGGCTGATAATGCACATGGCGGGGGCTGCATGGGGCGGATAATGCACATGGCTGGGGCTGGGGTTGGGGCTGATAATAGCCCCTTTTCCACCAAAGCATTTTGAGAGCCGGTTCGGAGCCGGTGCCTGCACGCGAACCAGTTCTTTGTGTATCGACAGCCAAAGAACCGGTTCTCGGCCAGGAGAACTGGTTCCAAAGCGGCACCAACTCTTTGCTTGACTAGAACCGTTCTTTTACCACGTCATGCTTACGTCGGGGGCTGGGCCGGGTTTAAATGTGTTCTAAACATCTTTTCTGACCATTATAAATGATCGCAAAGCCAAGAGAAATATTTGCAGAAACACGATGGAGTCCGCCTTTGTAATTGTTATGCTTGAAGTTAACACAAGCGTTTCTATTTTTGAATGTTTTTATTGAAGACATTAAGCAAAGAAGAAAACTGTCACAATATAGAAAAAAAGACACAAGAAAGGGGTACATAACTTATCAGAAAAGATTACATATCAAACGAAAAGATTAAAAGACTTGCATATTTCAATTGTTTTTAAAGCCTTTTAAAGCCTAATCCCAAAGTAGGCTAATGTTGTACTTGCAAGCGTTTCAAGCTAAGACGTATGGCGACGTACACAGTGACGTAACGGCATCGTTCCCTGGGCGCTCTAGTCAGTGGAAAAACAAACAGGTTCTGAACGGGTTCGCAAGTTGAACCAACTCCGAACCAACTTTGAACCAGCACCAGTTCCGAACCAGCTCTTTTTTTGGTGAAAAAGGGGTAAATGTGGACTGGAATGGCTTCAGTGTCGGGGCTCAATTTTTGTCCCAGTGTTGAGCAATTTTTAACAAAGTACCATCATGATATCAGTGTAGTTGGGCCAAAAATAAAACAATTAAAATATCAAGTAACTAAGTGATACTTGGTGCCACAGCGACATTCTTGACCCAAAAAGTATTGCTATACCACGATACTCAATATGTTTTCCCACGGAATCATTTTCCCCTATTGCACTTACACAAAATTTGAGGGTTCCCCCACCTGCCAAATCCCACTTTGACCACTGTATATATTTTAAAACATTAGTGGAATGTAATGACTGACTATTGTAAGAGTGAGGTTTCTTTAAGAGGCTAAAAGAGGTGGGCGTTTCTGGCTACTGGATATATGTGTTTTTCACCCAGTGTTGCCAGACGTACGATAATTATTGTATTTGTACAATAATTTTGACCTTTGTACGATCAATAATGAAAAATAAATCCCATTCTGACACGATAATTTCAGAATTTTGTGACACTTCAATTGGAGGTCATTGTATTCATAGTGCTTCTGTACTCATTGATCCAGCTGTGGATTTACACAAGCGGGAAATCCACCAGCCGGAAACTGAAGTCTTCCCGGGGGCCGCCATTAGCTAACAAGCCTTATCCTGCTGTTAGCATTCCATTGACTCCAATTTATTTTGGCGTCACTTTGACTGTGTGTAACTTTACATCTGTGCAGGGGCGGACTGGGACCAAAAAATCGACCAGGAAATTTCGTAGACCACGATTTTAATAGCCGATAGCATTTACAGTTTTATTGATTTAAAAGGAACTTTGTTGTACTATGCTGGAGTAAAGTTCATAAATGGTCATTCTTTCCCATTGTAATTTCTAAAACTATGTTGGGTGGTCTGTGCCTCTAGGGGGGTTCGGGGGCGCAAGAAAATTTTGGACATTTTAAGAGCTTCAACCCACGAACTGCTCGTTGAACAAAGAAAAAGTATTAATTTGTACCAGGACAATAAAGAGGGCTCAAACATCTTTTTAGTTACGAGAGTCTCAGTCTGCATTACATTATCAATGGTGTTTTTGGATGCCAAACATTTATTATAATAATGTAATAATGATTTATAATTATTCCTATGACGTACTGTAAAATCCATTTAGCCTATAAATGTACTATGTAAATGAAAATCAGTATTTCAAAAGTATATTTTAACCTAAATTACACTAATATAGGAAAATTAATATACTTTTGTCCTAATTTCTTCACTTGCAAGAAATAAACCCTTGAGCTTTTATTTAGGAGAAAACACCAGATGATCGCGTGAGCAAAGTATCACGCAGCACAAACTGGATGCTATTCTAATGTCAGTTATTATAATGGCGCAACGCCATATCATGGTTTCAATTTTAGTTCGTTGGCAAAATATAACGCTAGAGATCTTAATGTTAGGTTTGACATTTTACATCTTTACATATGTGTTGGGAAAAGGGAGAAGAGAGAGTTCGGCAAAAGGCGGATTCGAGCTCTCGTTCAGCGCATCAAAAGCTACTTTCAAGCACTTCACGCCCTACGACCTGCGCCACTGAAGATGTTTCAAGACGGGCGTCGTTTTGCTGTAAAGACAGGAGGCACTTAGTGCAAATATATGCTCCGTTATAGAAAATGTTAAAAAATAAAAAAATAAATGTTTTCTTCCCTTAGCTTGGGTCTCCAATTGCACATGGCGAACTTCCAATAAATACATTTTATCAAACCGGCCCTCGCGGCCTCGAAGCACTACTACCGGCCCACCGGGAAAACTCCCGACTCCCCCGATTGCCACTCCGCTATTGCATCTGTGGCGTTTAAAGACTCCATTTGTCCATTATTTATTTCTAAAGAAACACGACAATGTATAAAAGGCTCCATTACCTTGTATCTTACATTATGGCCCCGTAGAAGCAGTTTTTGTAAAAATAGGCTAAGGATTGCGTCATAACACACAACTCTGTCACACAGGAGTAGAAGCTTGTGCACAATCGCGGGGACGTGGAGGTATAAAATCAAGGGAGAAGCCCATAGAGAGTTGTAAAGTTGCTCCTGCTGCTGCTCATATGGACTGATTCAGGGGAATGATTCAGATTCCTCTTGGCATATCTACTAGAAGACTTACAACTGTGAGACAGGTTGCTCTACGTCGTCAAGCTCAGTTTGAGCCTGCGCAGTTCGCTTGCAATCAGAAAGTAAGTGTTTCTAAATAAACTTCACTTTTCTCCGTTGAAGTTTGGGGTCACTGGCTGTGTCCGAAATCTCCCACTACTCTCTATATAGTGAGCTCGCCATTTTGTAGTGCTGTCCGAATGTGTAGTGATGATTATTATACCCTATATAGGCCACTCAATGAATCCCAGAATGCATTTTGAAAAGTAGTGTACAACCGATGGTCACTAACACAAGCCCCACATACCATCATGCATTGCGCTGATCGTAAAAAATGGCGGACGGACGACAAGGGGAGCAGCGCGACAGTACAAATTTGTCGAACAAATGTAAGTTATGTTCTGTCTCGTTTAACTTATGATATGTAGTAGTTTTACAATTTTGTCAGACATGTATAAATTGTTAGCAATGACATAATCAACGGCGCTGAGAGACGATCGAGTAGTGTTCCTATTATGCTGGTGAGCTCACTACATAGTGCTTACTCCCTACCCCCTACATAAGTTGTAGGGAGTAGTGGTTTGAGTGGAGATTTCGGACACAGACACTGTGTCCATTCCTTTTACTGTCTATGG